CACACACAACACACACACTCTCTCACACACACACACACACTCTCTCACACACACACACAACACACACTCTCTCACACACAACACTCACACACACACACAACACTCTCACACACACACACACACACACACACACTCTCTCACACACACACACACAGTACTCTGGTGGTGATTAATGCTGAGCTTGTGTTTCAGAGAGCCGTCAGGATGTGGAGGACGCTGGGCCGGTCGCTCACTTCCCTCAGTTCTCTTACTCCGCCAGCATACGAGAGTGACCGACTCGTCTCTGCTGACGACCCATAATGCATCATGATGGACTCTGAGCGACTGCCAGCGCAGACGAAGCTGAAGTCATGTGGTGTGTGTACAGATGGATCTCTCTCTCTCTCAATGAATGTATTGATTACCGGTGCTCAGAATGTAAAGCCAAACACGCTGCTGTCATTACGATCTCATAATCATACGTCTGGATGTTGAACAGCATGTGATTTTAAGGCTGTTTCACTCATGAGGTCACAGAGAAACACTAGTGTCATGATTAGAATCTACAAACATTAAAGATGTTCATCCTGTCCTTTAGATTGACCAATGATCACCAGTGTGTCTGCTTTCAACCTGCTCGTGTTTTTAGGCTCAAATCTGCTTCATCTCTTCACTCTAAAACCTCGTAGATGATCTGTTTGGCTTACATGTTTCTACAAACCCTGCCAACATACAAAACACATGCAGAAGAATAATTAGCAGATCTGCACATATTCAGCCTGTGCATCATTCACTATATCCTAGTGCTGTCACACAATTAATCACATCCAAAATAAAAGTTTTTGTTTACATAATGTTTGTGTACTGTGTACATTTTTTTATGCATGTATAAATACACACACGTGTATATAGATCAGCTTTACTTGATATATATATATACATATGACATATATGTGTGTGTGTATATTATCATATTTGAGGGTTTACAGGGTTAATTCAGTAATCTACATGCTAAATCTAACGTATATATCACATTACAATTGACCTTGCAGATGAAAGAGTCGAATATTATTAAATTTGTGAACAATTAATTTCATTTAATAATCGTGTCTCATTAAATTACATCAGGTCGTTTTACATGAAATAACAACAACAAAAAATGATTCGTTTGTATTTTTAGACCGCACGTGACGTGCTGCGCAGCTGTCAAGTGTGAACCAGTGAGGTTCGAGGAGTCGTCATGTGATCAAAACAGGAAGTGCAGTGCTGATTGATTATTATCATCGATCTCTATGAGAAGGCGCAGCTGCTGCTGTTTGATCGCTGTCGGCATGGCAATACTCCTCTTCATCATCTTCATCTGCGGCTCCATCAGCTCTCACGTGAGTCTGATCGATGTGGAGATTGATTGATTGATAAATGTTCTGTGTTTAACACGACACGACACACCTGAGAGTAAACATCACATGATGTGTGCAACTTCAGAAATCATCGCGGAGTATGTTTAAATACTGTGGTGCTACCAAGTGATTGTTATTTTAAAGAATACCATAGTGCTAGCATGGCACAGGTCCAAAAACCATGGTATTACAGTGGTACTATGGTAAATCCAGGCTAGTACCGTGGTCAATTTTGGTACTTTTTGTTAGTAGACCAAAAAAGCTGTTGAATACCATAAGAATTTAATAGTACATGTGTAAAATGCATGATATTACCGCAGTGTCCACGGTAATATCGCGGTATTTCTCGCAGTAAATGAAGGTTTGATGTGTCTGGAGATGATCTATCATGTTGTGTGTCCTCAGGTGAGTGTGGCGTCCAGGTCTCAGAGTGAGTTCAGGGTTTCTGGCCGAGCGCTGTATAAGCTGGACATCTCCTGGCCCAAGAACCCCGAGTACTTCACCGGACAGGTGTTCGGCGTGGCTGTCAATCATCTGGCCGGCCTGGTGTATGTGGCTCAGGTGAGTGAGGACTGTTTCTCACAGTTCTGAGGGGGAAAGGCGTAAAAACAATTAGGAAAAAACTCAGTTTTGCGACAAACACAATCTGAGAAGAAAAAGGCAGAATTGCGACAAACTCAAAATTTGAGAAAAGTGTTAGGATCGTGAGATAAAGGCTACAGTTTCAAGAATGAAGTCACAATTGCAAGATGTGAACTCAAAAGCTGCAAAATAAAACTCGCAATTAATTTTTTTCTGTGGTGGAAACAAGAAAAAGCAGAATTGTGAGATATAAACCCACTGTAGGAGCCATACTTTTATGTTGCAATTCAAGTTAATTTTGGTTTAATAAACTTCAGTTATTGTTTGGAACTTCAACAAGCCTTTCTGGATCTATTCATGGTGCTTTGCACGCGTCGGAATATTGCATCAACACCTCCCACAGTAGCCAAGAAACAAGGGACAAAATTGGAAAGTTGAAGCTTGTTTTTACCACTACACCCACAATTTCAAGAAAAAACAGAATTGCGAGATACACTCCAACTTTGAGAAAAGGGTCACAATTGATATAAACTTGCAATTTCAAGAAAGGCAGAATTGCAAGATAAAATTCACAATTTGAGAAAAAAAATCAGAATTGCAAGTTATAGTCACAGTTACTTTTTAAAAAGATATTTCTGTCAGAAATGGGCTTCTATTAGTGAGTCTGAGACCATCAGTGATCACGCTTCATCCTGACGAGGTGTGTGTGGGTGTGTGTGTGTGTGTGTGTGCGTGTGTGTGTGTGTGGCTGCCCACTGCTCCGGGTGTGTGTTCACGGTCTGTGTGTGTGTGTGTTCACTGCTGTGTGTGTGTGCACTTTGGATGGGATAAATGCAGAGCACTAATTCCTAGTATGGGTCACCATACTTGGCCACATGTCACGTCACTTTTTTTATACGGTCTGTACAGTATAAAAACCATTACGCCTATGGGATGTCCCCACTTTTCACAAAAACAAGCCTGTGTGTGTGTTTGTGTGTGTTTGTGTGTGTGTGTTTGAGTGTGTGTGTGTGTGTGTGTGTGTGTGTGTGTGAGTAACGCGTGTGTGTGTTTCAGGGCCGTACGGACACACAGTGAAGCAGTATTCTCCATCAGGGAAGCTGCTGCAGGTTCTGGGATCTCCTGGGAAAGCTGGATCTTCTCTCAGTCCGCTCCAGTTCGACCAGCCGGCTGAAATATTCGTCCACAGTTCTGGAGAAATCTACATAGTGGACGGAGACGGCGGCATGAACAACCGCCTGATCAAACTCTCCAGAGGTGTGCTTTTATGATGATTTTAGCATCACTGGCTCTCATTAGCTCACATTTCTACACACATTTACTTCTCATGAAACATTTCTGCTTAATTGACAGTATGTGTGTATCAGCATTATTTCAGTATCATCAAGGTATTATTATAGTTTTTAATTCATATTTTATTTTTACAATTTCTGTTTTACTATAATTTTAGTAAATGTTTTAATGTTGTTGTGAGTTTTGGTTACTTTTAATAATTTTTATTCATTTTTTTACTTTTTAGTTATTTTAGTGCATCAACTTAAACTAAATGAGAAAGTGAAATGTTGCCCTGGCAACTAGCTGAAATAATATAATATAAAGTACCAATCATACACAATGGTAATTCAAAGTGCTTTACATAAAAGGAATTAAAATCATCAAAATAATAATTTTATTATAACACAAATATATTTTTTATATATATATATATAATATTTAATGAATTATGTGTAATTTGCACAAAACACGTCCACAATGAAAAAAAACAATATTATTAGTTGCTCTTACATTTCTTAAATATAGAATACATTTTAATACAAAATCAGGGTTTGTATGTGGAAACGTTCATGCACAGATGAGTGAATGTGACGCATTGGTTTGTGTCAGATCTGCAGGTGCTGTGGATGCACGGAGAGAAAGGACAGGGACTCGCTCAGTTCTACATCCTCACAGTGTGGCGGTCGACAGCTACCAGAGGGTTTGTGTCAGTCCTCATCCTCACTTCTGTTTCTGAATGACGATCTCATCCTCAGATCATCCGAGATTATGATGAGTTTGTTTCTTCATCAGGTTTGTAGAAATGTAGCATTGCATCAGTGTCTCAGCAATGGATGCTCTGCAGTGAATGGGTGCCGTCAGAATGAGAGTCCAAACAGCTGATAAAAACATCACAATAATCCACAGCACTCCAGTCCATCAGTTAACATCTGGAGAAGACAAAAGCTGAAACTAATCCAGCATTAAGACGTTTTTAACTCAAATACTGTGACGCATTGGTTTGTGTCAGATCTGCAGGTGCTGTGGATGCACGGAGAGAAAGGACAGGGACTCGCTCAGTTCTACATCCCTCACAGTGTGGCGGTCGACAGCTACCAGAGGGTTTGTGTCAATGTTCTTCCTCACTTCTGTTTCTGAATGACATCAACACGAAAACATGCTCACCCTCAGATCATCTGAGATTAGGATGAGTGTGTTTCTTCATCAGGTTTGTAGAAATGTAGCATTGCATCAGTGTCTCAGCAATGGATGCTCTGCAGTGAATGGGTGCCGTCAGAATGAGAGTCCAAACAGCTGATAAAAACATCACAATAATCCACAAGTAATCCACAGCACTCCAGTCCATCAGTTAACATCTGGAGAAGACAAAAGCTGAAACTAATCCAGCATTAAGACGTTTTTAACTCAAATACATAGAGTCCATAATCCATAATAATGCTTCCTCCAGTGAAAAAGTGCATCTCCTGTTGTCTCTCACATCAAAATCCAGCCACATATGTGTTTAGAGCTGTTTAAACGCTGCTTGATCTGTGCAGATTTCTCTCCTGATTCACAGCAGAACACTTTTTCACTGGAGGAAGCCTTATTATGGATCATGGACTCAATGTATTTTAGTTAAAAACGTCTTAATGCTGGATTAGTTTCAGCTTTTGTCTTCTCCAGATGTTAACTGATGGACTGGAGTGCTGTGGATTACTTGTGGATTATTGTGATGTTTTTATCAGCTGTTTGGTCTCTCATTCTGACGGCACCCATTCACTGCAGAGCATCCATTGCTGAGACACTGATGCAGTGCTGCATTTCTACAAACCTGATGAATGACGTAACAAACTCATCCTAATCTCGGATGACCTGAGGATGAGCACGTTTTCAGCAGATTTTAATTTTGGGTGAACTGTTCCTTTAAGATCCTGTTTGACAGCATTACAGCAGTCAGGTGGGTTGTGAATGTAGTTGACTGACGCAGTGTTAACCGTTCTGTGTTCGTCCTCTCGTGCTCGTGTGTTCAGGTGTGGGTTGCAGACAGAGGGAACAAGCGTATCCAGGTGTTTAACTCTGTGACGGGAGACTGGCTGGGCTCGTGGGGCAGCTGTTTTAAAGAGGACGCGCCGTACTCCGTCAGGTGTGTTAAGGTTGTTTTTCCGATTTGATCAATTCATTCGAATTTAATGTTTTGCCACGATTTGATATGATGAATAGAAATATTACCAAACATTAGAATTAGACACTTTGACAATATGACAATGACAATGATAACAGTAAAGAGAAAAGAATGATCAACTGTTCCTGTGTGACGCGCTCAGTGAAGGACCATAAGTAGAATATAGTGCGAGGTGCAGTTCACACAGAATGAGCTTTTGTGTTGATAAAGATGCGACGCGGCAGCGGAAAAGGAAAAAATGCAAGAAGATGGGAGTGAACTTCTTTTAACTTGAGCGGCGTGTTTTTAGAAAGCCGTTTCATGCAAGAGACGCGAGCGCAACAGTCAAACACGTCCATGTTTACACAGAAAAACAATGGAAAAGCAGCGCAATCGAATAAAAAACCTGTAAAGAACTACTGCTGTATGTCTGATATTTCATGTTTGCATCACGGTGACTGATGACTGAAAGCTGCTGTTCATTGTTTTTACAGAACATTTATAGTTAATAATAGTCTGCTGGTGTTATAAGTTTTTCATTTTGAATTTGAATTACCTTGACTTTTGAGAATTTGTTTTAAAGCATTTTCCTCGTATTATTTCTGAACGTATAATATGTATAAGACAAGTTTGTACAAGATGTAGTTGTAGCTCATGCATCTTTTCTGCAAAGATATTTAAAAAGTGATTAGTTTAACATTTACATCATGTTGACAACTTCATGTGTGCTGCACTCGGAATAGAATTTTCTTTAACTAGAGGGTTTATAAAGAAAAAGTTACTTGAATCATGTTGTAGTTACATTTTCAAGCTGACTAGTTTGAGAATCGGTCAAATGTTTTTAATGTTTTTGCGTTATCGCCCAGCCGTACCCTGCCCTCTACCTCTCTCTCTCCAGGCCGCACCGCAGGTGTTTGAGCTGTAATAATAATAATGTGTGTTTGTGACCCGCAGACTCACACCAGACCAGAAGTACATGGTGGTGGCTCAGTTAAACACCAATCAGGTGACGCTGCTGGAGGCTCCGCCCGTCGGCATCATCGGTCAGTGTCAGGTGACCAGCAGCATCCAGCTGGCCGAGGACGTCAAGCCGCACCTGGTGGATCTGGATCAGAAGAGTGCGGCGCTGTATGTGGCGGAAATCGGGGCCAATCAGGCGCAGAAGTTCATTCCTGTGATAGCCGCCGGTGTTTAGATGTTCACAGAGAGAACAGCACTGATTATAACGCTTGAAAAGATCTGAGCTTGAAAATATGAGCAGCACTGATAATAAATATGTGACCCTGGACCACAAAACCAGTCATTTTTGAATAAATGTTTTCCATTGATGTATGGTTTGTTAGGATAGGACAATATTTGAAAATCTGGATTCTGAGGGTGCAAAAAAAATCTAAATATTGAGAAAATCATCTTTAAAGTTGTCCTTTTAAATAGACTTCAGCAATTAATATTTTGTCACATGTTATTTTATTTAGTTCAGAATCGTGATCTCTTTTTGAGACAAAAAAAAAAATCATCATTCTCAATATGTGACCCTAGAGCATAAAATGAGTAATAAGGGTCAATTTTTTTAAATTGAGATTTATGCATCATCTGAGAGCTGAATAAATAATCTTTCCATTGATGTATGGTTTGTTAGGATAGGACAATATTTGGCCGAGATACAACTATTTGAAAATCTGGAATCTGAGGGTGCAAAAAAATCTAAATATTGAGAAAATCATCTTTAAAGTTGTTCAAATGAAGTTCTTAGCAATGCATATTACTAATCAAACATTAAGTTTTGATATATTTACGGTAGGAAATTTACAAAATATCTTCATGGAACATGATCTTTACTTAATATCCTAATGATTTTTGGCATAAAAGAAAAATGTATAATTTTGACCCATACAATGTATTGTTAGCTATTGCTACAAATATACCCCAGCGACTTAACACTGCTTTTGTGCTGCAGGGTCACATTTATAGTTTACAATCACACTACAATTAAGGTTTAATTTAAATCAGAAATATCATGTTGATTTCAGATGATTATCATAGATAGAGGAATAAAGGGATCAGAGATTGGTGTGGTTTAAGTTCACTGCTGTTTATTATTGTGGGTATGGTATATATGTGTTTAATCTTGTGTTTTGCTTTTTGTTGAGAAAATAATGTTCATGTGAATTTATACAAGTTAAAGGTCCCATGGCATGAAAATTTCGCTTCATGAGGTTTTTTATCATTAATATGAGTTCCCCTAGCCTGCCTATGGTCCCCCAGTGGCTAGAAATGGCGATAGGTGTAAACCGAGCCCTGGGTATCCTGCTTCGCCTTTGAGAAAATGAAAGCTCAGATGGCCCAATCTGGAATCTTCCCTTTATGTCGTCATACGGGGAAAGGTTACCTCCCCTTTCTCTGCTTTGCCCGCCCAGAGAATTTGGCCCGCCCATGAGAAAATGAGCTACTACCGTGCGAGGCGAGCGCAATATTTTTTTTTCCTCGAGAGACATCATGGCTTGCAAACGAGCGAAGCATGGCAGTTGCCCCGCCTCTCTCCTCCTCATTAGCATTTAAAGCTACAGACACAGAAATGGCACGTCCTAAGGAAAGCTCATTGTGGGACTGGCTCGTAGTGGCTGAAATTCTGCACCAAGGCTGAATTTCGGGAAAGAGACTTCAGATACAGTACTAGGGACCACTTAGGCCTATATAAAAGCATCTAAAAAGCAGCATGTCATGAGACCTTTAAGCTTTGTATATCAATGCATTATTCCTGTTTTTGTCATCTTGACTTGTAAACATACGAGCTGAATGTCACATTGGACAGTTTTTGACTGAAGTGATGCATGTTGAGTTTCTGAGCTGATGTCCTGCAGTGTGTTAAACTCCGTTCACTGAGATGGGCTTTCATTTGTGTTGATAAGGAGTCATATTTGAAACTGTCTTGATGTGTGTTTAATGTAATAAAGCATTTGTTTATAGGTTTTGTGGTCGCGTGTATTAAGTTTTAATCAGAGTTTCTGCAGGATTTATGAAGGCACATTTAAGACTCTCTTAAGTCACATTTTGGTGACTTTCACTAACAATGCTCGAGTTTGAAAATACATCTTACAACAGATCTCCATTACATTTTAATTTATTTTACAATATAAAAGGATTAAATATCTCTAATTCAAACATGGAAATAACACCTTCTGATGATAATTATAATAAGTTTTGCAGTTCATGCGACATTTAATGTTAAGACTTTCTACTCTGATTTAAGGTTTTAATGTTTAATGTGTTTTATTAGCACAACAAAAATTGCATTCATATTGCCAAAGGCCTCCATACACAATGAGGGAAATACCACACAAAAAATAAAGGTAAGAAAACTATATCACACATATTTACCACTAAATTTGATGAAGTGCATAATAAACAAAACAATAACAAAAGAATGTCAACAATGACGACGGGCTTCTTCCGAGAGCTGCCCCACTCAGTGCCTGATCAGATTCAGACGCGTTCAAATCGGTTCAAATGTTTATTTTCGGCTGACTAACATTACTTTAATTCGCGTTAAACGTATTAGCAACTACCAACCCGTATAATCCCGTTGGAGTTGTTTAGTTGTGGCGTTTTCTTGTGTTGTTTCGGGCTTTTCCCGCGGGCAGCTGTGAGCGCGGCCCGAGTGTTCTGGCGTCGGATAAACATGGCGGAGCTGAAGGACTGTGCAGAACTGAAGGTAAGTGTAGAATTAAACGCACAGCTGACTTTAGAAATGGCACAGCGATGTCTGTACAGGTGATCAGCTGTGATTTCACACACACACACACACACACACACACACACACACACACACACACACGGCTCGGCGGGGAATACAGCGGCTCGGGTGTGTGATGCGTGAAACTCCAGACAGGCTAAAGGCTAAAGCTAACCTTCTGCACACAACACACTGACAATAACAACTCACGACAGAAAAGCAGCACTTCACAAGCGTTAGTGGTTATTAAACACCCGTGTTTACCGTGAGATCATATTTAGCACTCGTTCATATACACACAGATCTCAGCTGATCACATCAGTAATTAGCTCTTTAAGCTGGTAGATGCCAATCAAAACACCTGGAACGAGCTCATGTTTTATGCAGGGATGGGCGGGGCGAGCGGCCGAACGAGCTTTGATGTGGGCTAATGTAATATACTCGCGTGACGTCAAATATTGTGCATCTTTTTGCAAAGTAGTTTTCAAATGTGTGTTCATGTTCTGTACCATTAAAAATCCTTCATGTTTATCTTTAATGTCTGCGATGATGCTTTTCTCTGAAGGATTTCTTGAAGATCATTGGCTCTTAGAGATCCAGAGAGAGTTAGCGGCGTCTGTCAGAGGTGAGTGTGCTTAAAACAATAGTTCAGAAAAATTTTTAATCTGTTGAAAACGTGCTCATCCTCAGATCATCCGAGACGTAGATGAGTTTGTTTCTTCGTCAGGTTTGTAGAAATGTAGCATTGCAACAGTGTCTCACTGCAAGTGAATGGGTGCCGTCAGAATGAGAGTCCAAACAGCTGATAAAAACATCACAATAATCCACAGCACTCCAGTCCATCAGTTAACATCTGGAGAAGACAAAAGCTGAAACTAATCCAGCATTAAGACGTTTTTAACTCAAATACATTGAGTCTATAATCCATAATAACTCTTCCTCCAGTGAAAAAGTGTTCTGGTGCAGCAGGAGAAGCCGTTGGCGGGCAGCATGCCGGTGGTTTGGCCCACGCTGCTCGACCTCAGCAGAGATGAGTGCAAGCGAATCCTGCGCAAACTGGGTGAGACTCGCTGAGGCGTGTAAGCAGCTGTGCTGATGTGTGTGCTGATCGCGAGCTCACGCGTGTCGCGTGTTTGTGTGCTTGTGTGTTCAGAGCTGGAAGCGTACGCCGGCGTGATCAGCGCTCTGCGCGCTCAAGGAGATCTCACCAAAGACAAGAAGGAGCTGCTGGGAGAACTCACTCGAGTGCTGAGGTGTCGCACACCTTTCACTTTTCACAATACTCTTATCCTAATCTTAACTACAGTCTCTGATATCTCAGTGTTTTCTAGTCACATCGAGCAGTTTAGTATGGAAGCCTGCTAAAAACAAAGAGTAAAAAAATGTAAAACTTTCTTGCAGTTCTGACTAATTGTTTCTGAACTGTGTGATACAAACTTGCAATTGAGTTGTAAAGTCAGAAAAGATAGATTCTCATAAAGTCAGAACTGTGTGATAGAAACTCGCAGTTCTGAGAAATACATTTAGAATTGCAAGATATAGACTAGCAATTATGAGGGAAAAAAGTTGCAGTTACCTTTTTGTATTTTTGGTTCAATGGCAGAAATGGGATTCTGTAGTTTAAAGCTGAACACTAGCATAGTTTACATTTGCAGACAATATAAACATCAGTCAGATCTGCTATTAATATATCAGAATCAGAATCAGAAAGAGCTTTATTGCCAAGTATGTTTGCACATACAAGGAATTTGTTATAGTGTCACAAGCTTCCAGTACACGGAGACAACAACAACACACAGATAATAAAAATGAGATGTGAATAAAATACACATGCATAAATATAAATAAACCGCAAAAAAAGAATAAAGTGTATGTGCAGGTGTGCTATAGATAGAATAGGAGTAGAATAAAATAAAACAAAAAATAAGTTGTAACGATGTACTAGGATTTAGGGTGATAAATAAGTATAAGGTTACTGCACATACTGTACTTTAATTGCACAATGGGAGAACATTAACTGTTCATGAGGTAGATTGCCTGGGGAAAGAAACTGTTCTTGTGCCTGGCTGTCCTGGTATTCGGTGCTCTGTAACACCGACCAGATGGCAAAAGTTCAAAAAGGAGATGGCTTGGATGTGATGGATCCAGAGTGATTTTCTGAGCCCTTTTCCTCACTCTGGATGTATACAGTTCTTGGAGGGTAGGCAGGGGGGCACCAATAATCCTTTCAGCAATAATATATGGCTTTATGTGAGTGTACACTACCAGTCAAGAGTTTTTGGACAGTAAGATTTATAATGTCTCTTCTGCTCACCAAGCCTGCATTTATTTGATCAGAAATACAGCAAAAACTGTAACATTCTGAAATATTTGTACTATTTAAAACAGCTGTTTTCTATGTGAATATCGAGTAGATTTTTTTCAGGAGTCACAGATGAACAGAAAGTTCAGAAGAACAGCATTTATCTGAAATAGAAATCTTTTGTAACATTATAAATGTCTTTGATCAATTTAAAGCATCCTTGCTAAATAAAAGTATTAATTTCTATAATTTCTTC